TTTTGTCTGGTAGTGTTTTTCGACGGCGGGTTTTTTAACGGACTCGCCGCAAATGTTGCAGGTGAAGAAAACCATAGCTCAAGAGAATTATTAAAGAAATTGCGGCCGAATGGAAAGACGCGGTGTACTCCACGTGCGCGCTTTGCTTTGCTTTTTGTTTTGATTATCGTTAATCGATTGCAATTTTCTTGCCGTTCTGTTCTGTAAACAGTTGTGACACTGTTGGCTTCGTCTACTGCACTGTTGCCACTCTGGTGATATATCAATAAGCGATATTTTTATATTATTTGGAACTGTTGCAAACACTTTGTTCTGCTTCGGCTGCAGTTGTATAATTGCACATCGATGATTTCTTCATAACTGTTGTAAATATTTATTGCGCTTCTGAATCGGCTGCCACTGTTAATCCTCTGTTATCTGATGAAAAATAAACGGTTCGTGGTAACGTGCTATATCATTCAGCTTCTGTCTGCCTAGCTTGCAGAATCGAGTAGTTTTGCCATCTCTAGCGCGGCAATCAGCTGTTTCGCGCACGCTGATAGTGAAATGTGGTTGCCAATGTTGAAATTGCAACGAATCGTGCCGCATGGACCGCTGCGAAGTCTGACGAACCATTGCATCAGAATGAGCAGCACAGTGTCTACAGCTGCCGCGGAACAAACGCCACCCGCCAAATACGAACGCCAACCAAACGTGCTGCGTAAAAAGCTGAGCTCAGTTGTGCCGGGTTCTGTGAATTTACAGGTGCTCGGCGCAGGCGCCAATGGAGCGCCCAGCGCTGTTTACTTGTTTACCGACCAGTCCCGCTACCTGTTCAACTGCGGCGAGGGCACACAGCGTCTGGCACACGAGCATAAGACACGCCTATCTCGCCTGGAGCAAATTTTTGTGACACGAAACACGTGGACCGCAGTGGGCGGACTGCCGGGCCTGGCCTTGACCATTCAGGATGCAGGCGTGCGCAATGTGGGTCTGCACGGACCACCTCACCTGGACACCATGCTGCAGAGCATGCGCCGCTTTGTGGTGCTCAAGAATCTCCAGATGCAGACAATAGACAGCACACTGGGCGTTCCCTTCGAGGACTCGATATTGACCGTGCAGCCAGTTGTGCTGCGCAGTGAACAGCAGCCTCTGCAGCCCATTCTCAGCTATATCTGCAAACTAAAGCCACGCCCAGGTGCTCTCAACCTAGTGAAGTGCGTCGAGGCGGGCGTGCCGCCAGGCCCGTTGCTGGGACAGCTGAAAAACGGACAAGATGTGACGCTGCCCTGTGGCACAGTGGTGCACTCTGTGGATGTCACCGAGCCCGCCGAAACAGCGCTCTCCTTTGTCTTCATAGATGTGCCCAGCTTGGATTACCTGGAGTCCCTAAAGGCGCAGTCGGAGCAGTACAAACAGCTGGCCAACTCGGAGCTAACTGAGGTGGCACTCGTGGTGCACTTTAGTCCACCCGAGCTAACAGCTCATGCAGAGTATCTCGACTTTATGCAGACTAACTTCTCTGCCGGCACACAGCACATTTACCTCAACTCGCATTTAAATCGTTTCTCTGGCTATGCGGCGGCTCATCGCATTCAATACCAGCTGCATCAGCTTGCCCCGCGCTTCTTTCCGCTGCTCGCCGAGGCGGCGGAGCTGCAGCTGAGCTGCCCCAGCAACACGTTGAGTCACAGCCTAAAGAAAACGAAGCTGGATAATGACGTCGAGGAGCAGCGAGAGAATAAATTGAATGAGAGTGAATCAGTGAATGCAAAGGAAGTGAAGCAGCAGCAGGTGAGACAGCAGCAGGGCTTCGTTTCCATGAGCAGCTTCCACTTGAGGCCTAAGAAGGGTGAGTGAACGATATCTATTCACATATATCACATATATATGTATATCATTTTATTTATTTATTTTTTTAATTATTGTATATTTTATAAATTATAATATTTTTAAGAAATTTTTTTTAGCTTATTAATTTTAGTAGTAAAAATAAATATATTTATTTTATTTTCTTTTTTATGTTGTAAAGTTTTTTTACAATCAATAATTTAAAAAAAATTAATTTCTTGCTTTTATTATGTGCGCAATATATAAAACTGTTTGGGATTTTTTTTTTTTTTTAATTATTTAAACAACTTATAAATATTTAAGTTCTTTGAACATTTCCTGATTTGAGTGCCATCCTTCACAAGTTTCAAACATGTTCAAAGTCACAAACAATCAACAGCTGCTGTAACCCATCTTCAATCCTTTCATCTCATCTAATGGACTCACACCATCTCTTCCTCTCTTGCTTCAACTGCAAAGGAAACTTAATAAACTGAAACTGATATTTACATAAACTTGCAAATCTTTACGCCACAGGATTGGATCGCACGCTGGAATCGAAGCTGACGCCCGAGGAATATATCAAGGAGACGCATGCAGTGCCTGGCTTCAGCGAGCTGCTCACCCAGCTGCAGAGCGAGACGGCGGAGACATTGAAGATTGAGAGCAAGAGCTATCCACGTATCATATTCCTTGGCACCGGCTCCTGCATACCAAATAAGACTCGCAACGTCAGCTCAATTCTCATCCAGACCGCGGCGGAGGCATTCATGTTGTTCGACTGCGGCGAGGGCACGCACGGCCAGATCGTGCGGCTCTTTGGACGAGAGCGTGCCCGTGAGGTGATGCTGCAGCTGCAGGCTGTCTATGTCTCCCACTTGCATGCCGATCATCACATCGGACTGATTGCGCTGCTGCGCGAGCGACAGCGGCTGGAGCCGACGTCCCCGTTGCTGCTGCTGGCTCCGCGTCAGATCGAGCCTTGGCTGAACTTTTACAATCGTCAAATCGAGCCGATTGCCGATGCCTACACGCTGATGGGCAATGGCGAGCTGCTGGAGCAGCCGCTGGCGGGCGAGCGTGTCGAGCAGCTGGGCATTGCCTCGATAGCCACCTGCCTGGTGAGGCATTGTCCTCATGCCTTCGGCATCAGCCTTACGCTGCAGGCGCAGCACGAAGGCGAGCCGATCAAGCTGACCTACAGCGGCGATACGATGCCTTGTGCAGATCTGGTGGAGCTGGGTCGCAACTCAACGGTGCTGATACACGAGGCCACCATGGAGGACGATCTGGAGGAGGAGGCGCGCATCAAGACGCACAGCACCATCTCGCAGGCCATTCAACAAGGTCGCGACATGCAGGCCAAGCACACCATCCTCACGCACTTCTCGCAACGCTATGCCAAATGCCCGCGCCTGCCCAGCACCGAGGACATGCAGCACGTGGCCATTGCCTTTGACAATATGCAGGTGACCGTGGAGGATTTGCAGCATTATCACAAGCTCTATCCAGCGCTGCTGGCCATGTACGCCGAGTACACCGAGGAGCTGGAACAGCGCGCAGTGAAACGAGAGCTGAAACAGGAGAGGAAACGCAAATTGGCACAGACGTGATGAGAGAGAGAGAGATGAGAGAGAGAGAGAGAGAAAGAGAGAGAGAGAGAGAAAGAGAGAGAGAGTTATGAAAGGTCTTCTTGATAACTGTATACGAGCTAGGGATTTTTTGTAGCTACCGTGATAACTGGCGCATATATTTAAAGGTTCTTAGCCTTAAGCTGAGCCTGAACTTTAAAGAAAGTTGGATTCTAATAAAAGCTTACCTAGAAATAGATATAGCACATAAATTTAGAGCTATGCAAGCCTATGCAGCATAATTTTTTTTATAAAAAATATAAGTATAAATAAAATATATTTAAAATATTTAAAAATAGGAATTAAATTAAACTTACGAAATTGCATACCATATAGGCAATGACAAAATCAATTATTAATTTATATTGTAAATAAAATAAGATTAATCAGTTTATGTTCAAAGTGAAATGTGGAGAAAAGCTAAATAATAAAAAACAAAAAAAACTAATTTTTTTTTTTTTTTTTTTTTTTTTTTTTGTTTGTCGAATGCCAAAAGACATCATTTGAAAAAGATATCCTAAATATGTATAAAAAATATCCGTATATATTTTATATATATATTAAATATATTCATTGTAAATTAATTTTTTTTTTTATATTTAGATGAAATGAAACAACGTTGTTTTTGGTGTTTGTTTTTTATTATTATTATTTTTTGTTTAATGTTTATTTGATTCGCTTAATGCGCATTCGCTTGCAACAGGTGTCTGTGTAATAAACGCTCGTAGAGTTACAAATTACGAATTTAGTTCTTCAATAATAATATTATGTAAATGTATAAATAGTCGCATATTAATTCATTAGCTTTGTCGACACAACAGAAGGGCACTTGGGTTTTACTGTTATTATACTCATTCATTTTTAATAACATTATTTTTAAATATTTTGTTAAATATTTTATATTTAAGGCACTTTTTCTCTTCTGATTTTCAATTTTTTTTTTTTTTTTTTTTTTTTAGTTTTTGTGATGATCTTTTTTTAATTTTTTTTTTTTTTTTTTTTTTTTACTTTGTTTTTGGAAATTAGCTGTGACTAGTTAAAATTAGTAGTTAAACGAAAATAAAGGGTTTATTATAAAAAATAATATATCTTAGCTTGAACTTGTGTGTGTGTGTTTTTTTTTAAGTTTAGCTTGCGATATTTGGTGTGTGTGTGTGTGTGTGTGTGTGTGGGCTGTGTGGTTTAAAATTCTGGTTAATATTTTTGTTTTTTGTTTTTCATATAAATAAACATAATTTCAACATTTGTTTAAAAATAAATAAATAGTTGTACATTATTTAAATTAAAAGAGAAAAATCATCGGCAAAGTAAAGCAGCTGATATTTGATTTTTTTTTTTAACAACAATTGAAATTATAATGTTTTTATAATTTATATAAATAATTAATAATTGCTTTTGCCTTGGCCTACAATTAAGTTTAGAGTTCTACTCTTAACAATTTTATAAACTCTTTGGATTGGGCTTTGCTTGGCTGCCAAAGACAAAAGACAAATATCGTAACGGTTCCTAACGCTCCTCCATTTAGATTCACTTTTTAAAATATTTGTATTATTATTATTATTTTCTTTTCTTTTTTTGGGCTCATACACGTTCCACATAGTTGCCGGGGAATGTGCCAAAGCAACCCGTTCTCTGCGAGGTGCCCACATACCAGCCATCGTCGCATTTCTCTAGAACATGCACCAGATCGCCCTCGAAGATCTCCAGTTCGTCGGAGTTCTGTGGCCGATATTTGTACAGAGCGCGATAGCTGTTAAGATACGAACAGAACAGAAAGTTAATTATGTTTATTTCTTGTCTGATCCCAAATACTTACGTGAGTGGCTCGGAGCTGGTGTCCACATGGAGTGCATCTGTCTTGTGCAGCGTGCGGGTCTCCTTCAGTATGCCATTGGGCGGATGTGCTCCGTTCTGGGTTAGCGTATTGAACTCGTTATTGATATTTGTGCGCAACACGTCCAGATTTGGACGCAAATTTGTGGTGCTCTGAGTGTTGATAACTGTTGTCGTTCTGGCCGCAATATCTTCCGCACCAATATCGGTTAAGACCTGGCAGACACACACACAAATAGCAAAGAAAGAAGAAGAGTTGATAAGGTTTGATTAGTTGATTCATTAAAAGTGCGTAAATGTTGAAGAAATGCTGAAAGTTATAGCCGTTATTAGGGGCAAGTGAATAGAGTTTACAGTTGGTATGGGGAATACTTTGAGTTTTGGACTGGATATTACATAGATTTATATCATAAATATTCCAAAACTAAGGCCTGATTTATGGTTATAATTCTTTTACATATGTAAATCATTTAGGGTCTAGATCTCTCGCATAGTAAGATCTCTCTAAAGTAAATACTTTTGTAATTACAATGAGCTGATGATTCACAGACAATGCTTAGGAAAAATATGTGTAACTTTAGTAGGCATGAATCATATGAATACACTCATATGAGTATGCTCACACATGTGGGCACTACTATAGCAGACGAGACTGCGGTAGATACGACTATATTATTGTAGAGTAGAGAGTGTATGGTTGAATAGATTAGAGAGTAAGGTAAGTAGAATAAACTAAGTAGAGTAGAGTTGAGTAGAGTAGGATAGAATTGTATAGGGTAGAGTATATAGGAAGAGTAGTGGCAGAGTAAAATAGAGTTGAGTATAGTTGAGTAGACTAGGGTAAGGTAGAAAAGAGTAGAGTATAGTAGCATACGATAGAGTCGAGTGTGGTAGTGCAGAGGAAAGTAGAATAAAAGAGTGTACAGTAGAATATCGATAATCTGTTATTTACCTCCACATAGGAGACAGGGAAAATGCCCTTGCGGTTGGCTATTTTGCCCTCAAACCAATTGCCATCGACACGACGTGTTAGTGTGACCAGCTCGCCTTTGTTCAGCGAGAGCTCAACGCCGGACTGCGCTTGGAAGTTGTATTTGGCACGAGCCTGACCCTCGGAGGGACGCTTCGAGGGTGTGCGAGCGCCATCACGACTGATAATCTGCGAGAGAGAGGGAGAGAAAGAGACAGATGTTATAGTGGATATATCAAATAGTTTACTGCGCTGAGTATCTACCTCCACATAGCTAGCAGGCAGCAATCCAATCATGGCGTTATACTCGCCCTCGTACCAATTGGGATCGACTTGTCGTCGTATGTAGATGGTGTCGCCCTTGCGGAACGAGAGCTCCCTAAAAGAAATCCGAGTTCAAGTTGAGTGAGAGTGCGGTTGAGAGAGTTGAGTGTGGCTTACTTGGAGGTCTGTCCCTGGAAATTGTAGAGAGCGCGTGCCACTGTTTTGGGTCCCACGAGCGACTTAAGCGTCACGTCTGTGGGGAAGTCATCGTAACGATTGAGGGCAATCGGCGACTTTTGTGAGGGTGTGAAATTGTCGGTGTGTCGTCGCGAATTCATGTCCTGCAGCTCCTGTAGATATTTGCGTCGACGCTCCTCCTGGTATAACTTTTGCATATGCTCCGCTTGACGTATGGCTAATTCCTCATCCGATATGTTTGGCTTGTACTCATGCCTGAGTGGGGTCTTGAAGTGTATATTGACGTCTATATGAAACGAGAAGAATCGTATAGGGTATCGATGAGTATATATGTAAATATCGGAAATTGGACGCCTGGTCTGGCGGGCCAAAAGGTTGTTGTTTCGTTTGTGTTTATTGTTACGAGCGATGCTAAAAATACGAAATAAGTAGTTAGGGCATTGTCGGGCGGCGGCTCGTAGGGCAAGTGTAAGACGAGCTAACCGCAAAAAAAAAAAAACACAAAAAAAAAAATGTTATTGTCGCTGCTGTTATGAAACGAGCCGCAGCGCTTATCTGTAACTGTAGCTGTATCTATAACTGTCTGTATCTGTATCTGTAGCTGTAGCTGTAGCCTGTAGCTGTATCTGTATCTGTATATAGCTATCTTCATCTGAGTCTAACGTCTGTGCATGCCAATTGGTAAGCAAATAAACAACGTTAACGCTGTTCAGCGCACGCCTCGCTAAGCAGATAGACCCCACAAAACGCAGATAACCTCTCGGCAAACTGAGAAAGTTGAGATGAATAACAAAGTATATATATATATATATATAGAGAGAGAGAGGTATAGTTTAGTCTTCGTTTTCAATTGAATTAACATTTCGCATTGTATCGAAAATGAGCTGCAATTGAAGTTAATGCTCGTTAGTTTCCACTGATAGCTAAATGAGCCACCAATTGAAATGAAAGTGGTGCCAACTGGGCGTGTGGCTTAAGTGGGTGGATGGCTGACGACCCACCCGAATGGAATGAGCCGACTGCCCAAGTGCTTTCTACTGCTGCAGCTGTAGCTGTTGTCAGCTCGTGATTGGCATCTTAAGATAATGTAGCCCCTATATCATTCATTCAACAATGCAATGGCTGTCAATTAAAAAAGTTTACAATGAAGAAATTATAATTATTATTTTCTTATCTGATCAAGTTTTGATAGCTTTTTTGGATGGGGGTTTTATGGAGTTTAGCAATATTTTTTTGTCTTGTGAAGAGAGACATCTTCAACGATGCTGTAAGAGTGTAGCTTCAAGTACAAGTAAATAACTAAATATATAACTATACGTTGAATTCTATGCTTTAAAACTCTATGAAAAAGACTAAAATAATATATCTAAAAATTCAACAAGAGTTCGTGAACTCTACAATAACAATTATGAAAACGAATTAGCTCCAAAAGAACCGAGGATTTTAATTTTAAATGTTTTAGAAGATAGTTAAGGGGAAAAGAGATATTTAGATTAGCGATGTATATCTACAATGAAGTATTCCCTCAAAAAAAAAAAAAAATGCTTAAAAATACCAATAGATTTAGATCAGACATAAAGAGACGTCATCAACTGGAGACGTCATGAGCTGAAGGAGGTAGCAGAATTAAGAGCTGAACTAATAAAGCCCACGTATGCGAGGGCAGCAAGAAAGATGTGGGAGCCATAATCAACGTTAAGAGAAGAAGAATAAGCTTAATTATATTGTTTAAATTAAACTATGCGGAATATGGTTGACTTGATGCCCGAATTAAGAGATTATTTACCCTTCATTTTGATGTTAAATATCAAATTAAATTAAATTTATTTGACAAAGCTATAAATATATAAATTAAATTTAGTTTTCCTATCTCTCTAATGATAATATGATTAAATTGATGATTGAATAGTCTAGTAGTTAAAGAGAAAATTGAAGATCTCATAGTCATGACACTGAGTGGAACTGAAGGTAAAGCAACTATAGGAAAAATGCAGTTAAATGTAAATAAATTTATACAGATTCCCTGTTAACTCGAAGACTAGTCAGAATGCATTTATAATATAATTAAGTTAATGCTTCTTTGTAGCTAATAACTTAACATCTTTGATGAGCTATAAAACAAAGCCATGAGACTGCCCTGAGCAGCTCGTACTTGGAAACAAAGGAAACCTCGAAAGAGACATATAGTTAAAATGCTTTACAAGATCAACAACAAAGACTAACTAAGGCTGCGAATAATTGCTGATAAACGCCAGCAGTTGAGACAAGATGAGCCACTAAAGCAAACTTAGTATATACTAGATATTAGTATATAAGTCATTTGCATAGCTGCAGCAGTCATGAAGTAGAAATATATTCACTGTGGCCTTGAGCTGCATAGATGGGAGATTCAGTTGTGGATATTCGTTTGCATATGACGTGACCGCGTTTCACATGGGCTTGCGGGGGGAGGGAATTGATGGAGCGCTCAACTGATATGAATGGCAGTTAAACAATTGGAAATCAAGCAAAGTCGTAAAGCGAATTCTAAACGAATTGCGCAGCAGCCAAAGATCAAATTTTCCATCTCAAATAAATAGAAATTTTGTTTTGATGAAGGGCTTTACAAAAAGCGGAACACAAGCTGTACAAATATTTGTCGTTGTTGTTGTTGTTGTCTGTGACAAAGACAAAATGCTTGAAAAGATCATAAAGCACAGCAAACAAACAGCTTTTTGTTGTTGTATGAAGCAACAAAAAAAAAAAAAAAAAAAAAAAAAAAGAAAAATAAATAAAAAAGGAGAAATAATTGTCACTTGAGATATTTTTCACTTTCACTGATTTGTTTGAGGCGGCGCAATTTGCAGCGTTTTGAAAGTGTTGCCGATTTTCATCTTTCACTGCACATACACACACACACACACACATAGACACACATGCACTTGTTTGCCCCGTTAAGCCGGCTTTTCCTTTCGAGTTAGGTTAATCAGCGCTTAATGCAGAAAACAAAAACCTTTTCTTTTTGCCTCACTCTACTCTACGCTTCACCTCATTGTGATTAGTCACACAATCAATCAGAATCACTGCCAGATAGTATGAGAAGGTCGTTTAGGTCTGATAAAGCAGCCAAAAGTGTCTCGGCTAAGCCAATGCACGAACCTCGCTCCAAACACGTTTAAGTCGACCGATCGATCGGGGCGCGCGACTTTAACAACTGCTTCGTAGCACGCGTTGCGCTCAACTGAAACCGAAACCGAAAACTGAAATTCAAACTGAATGAAATGCAAAGATTGAGTGAATGAGCAAGTGAGAGCACACAGTGGAAGAGAGAGACATACAGAGAGAGACAGAGAGAGGGAGAGACAAGGCTGGAGCTGCTTTGTCGCATTTCAGTTATCGTCGTACAACGAATGCCGTTTCTTTGGCGCCCCACCTCAAATCGCACGTTTATTCAGACACTGCACAGCTGCTGCTGCTTCTTCTTCTTCTTTTACTACGACTGATTGTTGTTGTTGTGGTTGAAGTGTGAAGTGCTTACAGTGGGGCAATTAACTCACGCACAGTTGATAAGAGCGCGGCTCGTGTGTATGTGAATTGGATGAGGCATTGTCAAATGAATCGAATTCAATTGTTGAAATAATTTAAGGGAAAATATTCAGAAATATTTTGAAATGCAAATATAGAAAGAAAGAAGAAATAATAATAATAATATGAATAATATTAATAAATTATTTAAATTTACCTATATTTAATATTTTATTTTATAATCATTAAGCTGAATAGGCTATATATTAAAAATTTACTGAAATTTGTATGGAAGGAACTGTAGCTTGCAGCTTTTCCATTTATTTAGACAGACTTTACATTTTTTATGTATAATATAAAATAAACATGTATAAATTATATTTAAAATATTTAAAGTCTGTATAGAGTCTGAAAGTTGTGATATTATCGAACACGGAAAACTACATCCAAATAGTTCCTAGAACTGGATTTTATCACAAACGGAATTTTAGCTTAGCTACAATGCTTTCCTTGTATTTTTTTTTTTAATATAATACGGAAGAGTAGATGAGAAAAGGCCAATTTGCCATTAATTCATTTGTTACGTTGATTTTATGCGAGCTCTCTCATAATTGAAAATGAAATATATTCCATGATTGTATTGAAATTTCGATTTCAAGTACTTTTGTGCTCCACTGTCCGGAGCCAAGCACAAGATCAGAGTTGAAGAGATCGTTGCACCTCAGAAAGCTCCAACAATGCGAAGCTTTTTATCGCGAGGCACGTGAAAAACGTGAGATGCATGACAAAAGCGTGGCAATCGAAAGAGAGAGATAGTCTTTCACTCTCTCTCTCCCACACTCTCTTTTATCTGTTGCTCTCTGTGCCTCATTCTCTCTCTCTGCTTTGATAACAAGTTTCAAGTTTTGCAAAAAAAAAGAAAAGAAGAAAAAAAAATTAATAGCGTGAGAAAGCGCAAAACTGGAAAATCGTTTAATCAAAAATTGAGAAAGTGAACGTTTTTGCCTTATGAGTGGGCGTGCCAGGAGGCTGCACATGCTTAGGCCAAGGGGGACGTGTTGGGTTGTAAGTGAAGGGCGGGGCGGGGCGGTGGGAGAGATGTATTAAGCGCTATACTAACTGCCGCTTAGCTGCTGCCACTGCTGTTGTTGTTGTTGCTGGTGTTGCAGTTGCTGCTGCAGTTGTTGCTGTTGCAGTTGCTGTTGCTGCCACATGAGCAGCGGCATGGAGGCGCCTATGGCATGTCGATTGGCCAAATATGCCTGACGCTGCGCTGGTGACGGCGTGGGGGGCAGACCTACAATATGATAGCTCATTGCTGTGGTTGTTGTTGTTGTGGCTGTTGTTGTTGTTGCTGCTGTTGCTGCTGCTGGCAGCGGTGGCACCATGGGCGCTGCTGCTGCTGTTGCTGCTGTGTCGCGCCGCAGCCACAGCAACTTGCCACAGTTGGGCACATCGCAGACGCTGCGATGCAGCGTGGCTGGCGTCAGGTTGTTGCTGTTGTTGTAGTAGCTGTTGCCATCGCTGCTCAGCGGACGTCGCTGCCACTGATCAAAGCTGTTGCTGTTGTTGTTGTTGTTGCGGCGCAACTGTTGCTGCTGCCGTTGCTGCTGCTGCTGTTGAATGTTGTCATCTGTCAGCTCTAAATCATTGCAGCTGCTGTGCAGCTTTTGATGCGACTGTCGCCAGTGCATGCGATTGCCCGCCGTTGAGGCAGTGCGTCGACTGTGGTTGCTGCTGCTGCTGTTGCTGTTGCTGTGGTGGTTGCTGTTGCCAGGGTGTTGTTGGTGGGCCGCGTAGGTGTCGCTGCGTCGCGGCGCTAACGTTTGATGTATCATAATTATTTTTTAATTTATTTCTATTTCTTCTAGCGGTTGCTTTTTCTTCTTCTACATAGATTTACGGCTCTTATTTTTTTTTCGCACCACTCAGTGGTGCATTATGTAAGTGGAAATTGACGCGCGTCGCATTTAATTAGGAAATGGTCGAGCGTTGACGTTTTTGGCACGGAAAAGTGAAACTAACTGAATGGAAAGGCCGCGCCGAACAGGTAACCAACGTCAGCTCGACCAGCGCTTGTTCTTCTTCTCCTTCTTCTTCTTCTTCTAGTTGTTGTTGTTGACACATTTTGGCCATGGCAACGTCTGGGCCGGCTTTGAGGGTTGTTGGATATTCGTTCGCTCGGTTCGATGGTCGAGCTCGTGCTCGGCTTGCGCCTTGGACAGGTGGCGGTAAGCGGGTCAACAACGCGCTGGCAGTCAGTTTTGGCTCTCTGTTATTGGCCCTATCGATTAATTTGGCCAACTAATGCACGCGGTGGCGCACCTTCTAAACGAAAAGCCATTGCTATTGCAGCAATTGCGGAAATTTGTTGCGACAGTAAAAGCAGAGCACACAAAATAACTCAAAGAGAATAAAAACGGAATTTCGCAAAGGTCGTTGAATGAACGCAGCACGCAGAGGCGTAGCCAACAGAAATTCAATGTGAAGGGGGCGCAGACCGAGGGAGTTAACTGGTTGATAAGATTGACCAAGGAGAATGTGAAGTAATTAAGGAATTGGAATTGGGTTAATGTTGGAAAAAAATATACATTTTGTATATAAGAGAGATATGCGTGAAGTCAGGTGGAGAGAGAGAGAGACACGAATGGCAAGGGGAGTTTCTTTACTTAAATAGGTTTAAGCAAATTATCAATTTGGATTATATATGTACATGTATGTACGTAAATCAAAATCTCCATTTCGTATTAGACTTTACTTAAGTATGATTTAATTATCTCTAGATCTAAGTGAATTTTTATCTATATTAATATTTTGATATAGTTCTCTTAGATCTCAGACAAATTTGTATCTTTGTTTCTGTATAGATCAAATTTCTCCAGCTTTTTTTTCATTCAAAACAACATTTTCAATTATATTATTTTGCTTTTCACATTTCTCTGCGGAAATTGTCTTAAGTTTTTTTAGTACAAATCTAATTATAATAGCCAAAACAAGTATATCTAAAAATATATGTGTCAGGGTATATTCTTATGTTGCTCCACTTAATATGAAAATAGTCACAAAATAATACATTTATTTTAATAAATTATTTTTAGTACAAAAATAAGGTAATTATTTAGAGACAACTGCATTATAGAAATTACAGTCCCCTGAGAATTAGGCGAGTATTTAATGATAGTTCCCCCTTTCGAAATGCAAATCATCAGAATTTGCAAAATTTTTAGTACGCTCAATTGGTTTTTAGTACACTTGACAAGCATCGGTCTGGCAACGCCGCTGACTGGCTGGCCACCTGCCTGCAGACTCACCTGTACCCGAATCAGTTCGATCACCGTTGCTGTAGACGAATGGGCTGTAGGGCTCGTAGCCCGAGTGGCTCCCCGGGCCCTTGAGTGGCGGCTGTGGGGGTATGGGCGGTGGTGGTGCGGCGCTCGAGTCAAAATCTACGCCAGCAATGGACAAATGGACAATACAGTAGATGGATAAAATAATTTCGAATTGTGAGCGGAAAACCAATTGTAAGCCGAGTCTCCAATATAGAGAAAAAGTAACGAAAAACCAAGCCTAGGACTACGAGATTAGATGAGCGCAGGCAACAACCCGAGAGAGAGAGAGAGAGACACACCCACTGCAACACTGTCAGATAGTTGAGTTACCTGTAAATGTGACCGCCATGGCGCTGCGTTTGAGACGTTCCAGACTGCCGACCGGGCAACGCCGGGCGCTAGCCGCTGGCTCCCCGTCGGGCACATAGCGCGCCTTGGGCCGATGCTTGTGGGCATCGAATTGCTGGTTGGCAAAGATGTCGGAACTGGCTGTTGTCTGTGGCTGCTGACTCGCCCTGGCCGGACGCATGGGCGAGGTGGAGCTGGCTCGGGGGCCCGGCTGGCGTTGGGGTTTCTTGGGCAGCGCCGGCGTGCGCTGCGGATGCTTGTGGGCCACCCAGTCGCCGCTCAAGTGGGGCGAGATATCGTGCACATCCCGCAGATCTGCCAGCGAGGTGGAGAGATAACGCTGGGGCAGACTCTGGCCCGGCTCGGGGGACTCGTAGCGATGGCGCAGCGTCTGCACGTGGCCCGTGGAGCAGCTGTTGCTGCTGTGGCTGCGCGTCGGACTGGCCGCCTTGGCCGGCAGCAGCTCCGCCGTCTTGCTGATGATGTCGATGTGCGGCATGAGGAGTCCGCGCTGTCGCCGCCTGCCACGTTCCGGCGAGCCGGTGGGCGTGGCCGCGCGCAACTCAAACCTGTGCGTCAGCTGGCTGACGCCGTCATCGGCGGCTGGCAACGCATCCGCAGCGTTGCCCGAGGCGTCTTTTGATCCTCCGGCCTTCAATTGAGGATCGCTGCGCGCCTTCCGCAGCTGGCTAAGCCCAAAAAAATGACGCCGCTCGTTGGACTGCTCCCGCTCGATGCTCTCGAACTTCTGCTTGATCTTCTGCACCTCGCCCGTGTAGACGCGCTGCAAGTAGGAGCTGGAGCAGGCCGAGACCTGCGACTGCGGCGACAGGCTGCGCGACCGATAGTACGCATCGTACAGCTCAACGCTGCCAGCGGGCGAACCAGCCCCGTAGCGGTGCAGCTCGCCCGCCGGATCGGGCGCGGCTTCCTCCTCGGGCGGCCGCTCGGGCGGGCTGTGCAAGTGAAAATTTACGCGAGCCGCGGCGCGTTCGCCGTAGATGCCGCTCAGATCGGTCAGCGAGTTGCTCAGCTCCGTGTGCACCAGCTGGGTGTGGGCGTGGCTGTGGCTGTGGCTGTGGCTGTGGCTGTGCTGGTGGCGGGCCTGCTGCCTGGCCTGCATGTTCTGCTCGATGAGGCGCATCACCTCGGCCTCGTCCGGGGAGCTGTCCTCGCGCGCATGGTAGATGGTCTTGCTGGGCTCCTCGAACTGGCGCTCCTCGAAATATTGGATTTTCTGATTGATGGGATTCTCTTTGGACTCCTGCGGCTCCAGGGACTGCTGCGACTGCTGCGACTCCTGTTCAGCCTTAGCCATGCCTGGCTTGGTTTCCGCTTTGGGCTTGGGTCGTGGCGGCACCTCGGGCGGCTTGCTCAGGCTTAGCTCCGCATTCTTGGCGGCTATAGCGCCGCGTGTCTCGCGAGCCACCACCACCGGCGACTGGCTGCGCGTGGCACGTGGCAGCGTCTGCGCCTGCTGCTGCTCCTCGCGCTTGCGCAGCACCGGCCCAAGCAGCTGCTCCTTGCTGATGCTCGAGTTGCAGCGCACTTTCAGCGTGTTCGCATGGCTGCTCGGCTTGGAGTCCTTCTCCACGGTCACCACATACTGCTCCTCCACCGTGGCCCTTCTATTGCCCGCATAGATCTCGTTTAGCTGCTGGGTTATCTTCTTGATCTGATCCTTGGAGAGTGTGCTAACCAGATCGTTGTTCAGATGTCGCTCCGCCTGGGCTTGGGCCTGCGCCTGGGACTGTGTCTCCAGGCTGCTCGCCAGATCTGCGACGGTATTGCGTCGCCATTGACGCTGCACGGGCGGCAGGAGCTGCGCCTCGGCGCGCTGCCGCTTCAGCAGCTGCAGCTGCTCGAAATTCTCGCGCAAATCCTCGACGGACTTCTGTTTGGCATGCAGCGCCTGGTCCGCCTCCTGCCGCCACTTGATCTCATTCACGTCCTTCGAGCGAAAGTGCAGATCGCGTTCCCGCTGATCCGACTGCAGTTTTCCGACCAGGTATTGCAGCTCCTTTTCGGCCCGCTCGTGCAGACGCACCTTGCGCCACTCATCGAAGTCGAGCAGCTCCGCATCCTTGCGCAACGGATGAAAGTTGCTCGCCGAGGTGGCCCGCTCCAGCTGCCCCACCCGCTCCAAGGTGCTGTAGAAGCGATTCAGCTCGGTGAAGCGTTCGCAGTTGTTGCGGTAGCGGCAGCTCGGACTGTGCCGCTCCAGCTGCACCAGCGAGGTGGCACTGTGCGCCAGCTCGCCGCACTGATAGAGGCCGCCAGCGGTAGTGCTGTCTGCACCGCCCTGCTGCCGCCTGCTGCGATCGTCGGCGCTACTCAGGCTGCTGGCACGTGCCACCGCCTGCTGGTGCTCCTTGTCCTGGCGCTGGCTCGAGCGCAGACTGTCGATGCGACGACGAGAGGGCGAACGCACCTCCCGCTGCTGCTGTGGCTGCTGCTGCTGCGGCTGCGGCACACGCACCTCCCGCGTGGGTGAGAACCGACGCTGCACTACCTCGGGCGACTGCGGACGGGCGATGTCCGTGACAGCCTGCGGTCGAGCGCCTGCCTGTGCCTTGCTCTCATACTTCCACACGAGATCCTCAATGCAGCTGGAGGGCGGCGGTGCGGTGTAGTCATAGATATCCTCGCCGTAGGCCGGCTCCACCAGCGAGCAGTATTTGTAGTCAGCGGTGGTGCCGCCATTGATTAGCTGCGGCAGCGAGTGTGGCGTTTGGGTCTGGCTCTGCTTGGCATTGTAATCGTTCCAGAAGTGAGTTTTCTCGCGCACCGTCTCGCTGTAGGATTGCTGGGCCACAGCTGGCTTGGACTTGGCAGTGGTCTTGGTGGCTTTGGCGGTGCCGGCACGTTTGCGTGGCACGTGGCCCTCGCTGCGGCTGGTCTGCAGCGGCGCTGGCAGCGATTTGACTGGCTTCGACTTACCCACATAGGTTTTGGGCGGTGCTATGGGCACATACTCCTGTCGCACCACCGAGTCAATGGAGTAGGTGGAGTTGGTCCTGGGCAAGCTCTCGTTCGAGGCGCTGCGATGCACCGTGGCAATGGTCTGGGTCTGCACCTTGCTGCTTTTGGGCATCACCTTCTTCAGGGCACGACTGCAGTCGAGCAGATTCTGCGGTCGAACCTGGGGGAAGCACATGGTGTGGCGAGTAGTGGTGCTAACGGTGCTGTGGCGCAAGCGCGGCAACGATTTGCTGCGCGTATGCTGCGCCTTGCACGTGGCGTACGAGCGCACCGCCTCGCGCACCTCCTGCGGCGACTTCAGCGAGGGATCCCTCAGTATATTCGTGCTAGCCTCAAAGTTGGTGCGGCTCGCAGGCAGCGTATTCTCCAGTCGCTTCTTCTCCTCGGCAAAGCTGCGCTCCTTGGAAATGCTGCGGCCGAAGGCGACGGGACTGCGACTCGAATGGCGCAGCGCCAGGAGGCGCGCCGGACGACGGCTCGGACTGACGGAGCGCAGGCGAGCGTGATGCTGCTGCTGCTGCTGCACTCTCATCAGACAGCCATCCTTGCTGCGTGTCTCCTTGGTGGCGGTCAGCGTGGCCAGCAATGTGGACACGGCGCCCGTGGACTTGGAGCGACAGATGGGCTCCCGACGCGCGGTAGAGACCTTGCGCAGGGTAATAGTATTGCTGTTGCTGTTGCTATTCCCGCCTGGTGGCTGAAAGCATTGATCGTGACGCGATTTCGAGCAGCTGCTCGTTATCTTCTCCACGCGCACCGTGCTCTTCGTGCAGGAGGAGCGACGATTGGGCGGTAGCGGCGGAGTCTCCTGCTGCTGCTGCTTCTTGCTTAACGGTATAAACGAGGGCAGATTCTTCGAGAAATGCGTAAACATTTTGGTAGCTGTAGCCGGAGGAGGCGGCGGCGGTGGCGGTGGAGGAGGTGGTGGTGGTGGCGGTGCTGCTGCTGGCGTTGCTACCTTGGCTTTATCCGATTCTTCCTTAGTCTCCTCTAAGGGTTTGGTGCTGACGCGTATTTTGGTTAGCGTCGGCGTTATCTGTATAAATTCAAACTCTTCTACAATTTCTTTAGGTTTTGTCGGAAGAGTCGAAATCAGGAGAGAGATTTGCATATTAATCATAGGAGCAGCGACTTTATAGAGGGTGCCCGGTGCTGCAGTGCTTCAAAGAACGCTCGACGCATTTGCTGATAACAACTTCTAGTGTGGCAGTGGGTGTGTATACTAGTATATATATATATGGTATATATTGTTTACCAATTGATTAAGAACAGTACAAACTAGTTAGACTCAAGGAGTAGTAGAACAGAGTAGAGCTTAAAGGTTGTAGAGAGAAACCAACACCAATTGAAGAATTAGTACGAACAACTGCGCCTTAACTTTAGTTATTTAGTGTTGTGAGAGAAACCATGTTAAGAATAATTGAGCTAGTTCAATTGTGAACTATCCTACCTTTGGGTTTCTCGGGCGCTGGCTTGCGGAAGCCAAGCAAAGGCGGCTCACCACCGGCTTGTAAGCTCTTGTAGGCCTGACGCTGCTCCACAGGACTCAGCGGACTGCTAAAGGGCAGCTCCTTTTTGCGAAAGACTAGATTGGAATCGCTGGTATAACCAGATTCTTTGGCCAGAGCTCTGCGGGGAATACGAATGTACAATATTAATAGAGGAACAGTTTAGGGAGGGCTAGATTTTCTTACCTTGACAAATTGCCTTCTGTGTAAAGCGGCGATAGTTTCGATTGTTCCAAATTCTGTATTGTAATAAATAGATAAATTGATATTAGACAGAGCTCATTCAACTTATTTTCCAATGAAACGATTTCAAGACTTTTTAATTTTTACTATAAAAATTAGTATTTCGAGTGCCGTTTGTGGACGCAATGAGACCCTTTCTGGAGAGACTTAACTCGACTATTGAGGACTTACTGCATAATTATCAATATCATCGACGAACTCTATTATGATTCGTGGTATACGTGTATGTTCCCTGAGCCACTTAGCGTTACGCATAATTATTGAATTGGAGAGGGGATAAGACAGATAAGATATACTAAAGCATATTTTCAAGGATTTCACTATTCAACGAAAATCATATTTTTATAAACTTAACAGGAAACTAATCTACCCATTTTTAATGGGTGCAGGGTGTACAAAAAAAAAAAAAAAAATTGCAATAAAAATCTATAATCTATGACTAGAAATTATATAGATTAGCGTTCATACCCCGTTAAAGATGTCCATCACTTCGTCCCACCACTAGAATTGTGAATAGAATAATTTGCTGTGAGTTAGATAAATTGCTACGCGATTTGTGTAGGACGAAAATAATGATAAATAATGAGAGCGTGCGTATGATATCGTGTGTCAGATATGGGGGGTATTATATATAGTGAAAGTGCGAATGGGGGGAAATGAGTGAAAAGCAGCTGAGAGCATATGGAAAAATATTGTGGATGCATAGCATTAGCCATGGACGAGTTCACATAGTTTAGTTCTTGATAGGGATAGAGCTCTGTGCGTGACTACAGACTGCTGCTGACTTGGGCACTTGCCTCCTTCTTCTCCTTCTCCGAAACGGACGAATGACCCGTGGTATAGTCCTCGATGCGACCAGGTTGATTCTTGTATGAGTTTTGTGCCGATTTTATGGGATTGGGCATAGTACCATACAATCTGAAGCGAGAATTCGTAGGCAAAGTAAATATACATATCTTTCTAGAGCTCTAGAGTCTACTGAACTTACTTATCGTCCTGGTTTAAATTGCGCACATTTACAGCCGACGAGACCGATTGCACGCGCAGCGGATTGGGTGTACGATATTTTACTGTTGAGTAATCGGAATCGTAGTTGGGCTCGGGCTCAGAGACATAACCATTGCTCTTATAGGATGGACGAGCTGTGTAAGGTGATGATAGACAAAAATTAAATTAGATTTTTGAATATATTGTAAAGAAAAGTTATTAGAAATTTACGAGCACTACTGAAGTTGTTGTTGTTGTTGCTGTTGTTGTGGTTGTTGTTATCACGGATGTTGCAATTGTTGTTGTTATTATTATTGTTGTTGTTTAGGGCAGACATAATGTTAGAGCTTGGTGTATGAGTACGTACTTAGTTTAAGATTAGTGTAGAAATTTTGTTTAAAGTGTTCCAATGAGCTAAATGGCACAAAAAATGAGCAAAAAATAATATAATATAATATAATAAAGTCCAATAAGAATAAAATATGATTAAATCGACTTCCGCATGCCAAAACTGATAAAAAGAAAAATGTCCAAATTAGAAATCATAAATGTTACAGCTACTACCAAAAGCAGGCGAAGCGATAAGTGGGAGCTACTTAAGCAAAGCTTAGACTGAATTTAGAATATTATATGGATATATTTAAAAGTACGATAAGTTATAAAGAGTTTTAAAAAATCACCTCTGGGACACTTGTAGCGTATCACAAATTCGTCTGTTGAGTGCGATTTGACAAGACAAAGAGAGACAGAGTGTGGAAAGCGTATGGGGATGGGTACAATTGGTGATATATGGTATATATATATATAGTAGAGGAGTGGCATTCGAAAAAGAGAATTCAGAGAGTTAAACAACTAGTTCAGCAGGCGCAGAACTGAAGCATTATAAAGATATAGGTTAAGTGGATCATAAGTTATATATGGGAATGTGGTTTTGGTTGGGTTTCATAATGCTTCAAGTTCTGTTGGATCTGAGTGGTAAAACATTTACCGCCATTCTTCTGCTTATGTATGGTCTGATAGAGGCGCTTATACCATTCATGCTGATGCGGTTCCTGGACCTCCTGCAGCGTAACAGACAAAATATGTATATATCAAATAGGGAAGATTGTGGGTTCGCTCCGCTAGCTGAACTTGAGCTGATTTCTGTTTAGTTTTTGCTTTTACCGATCTGAGTATGATGGGCATTCCATCGTTGGTAACGGGACCGATCCCTTCGTATTGCCGTCGACCTAACTGTGCCATTTTTCTCGGACGATCGCTTTCCGTTTCCGGTTCGCTCATATACTCGTGCTTGACTTTGTAGACTGTAAACCGGAGATTGTTTTAATTCTTGTTTTTAGTTTTAGTGGAGTCAGTGTTTGTTTTTTTGTTTTTTAGGTGGAATTGTCAATGGGAGTGGAAACCGAGTGGAAATAAACGTGTGTAAAACATTTAGAATGCAGCACCTGCCGCTGTTAATCTTGCGTGTGTGCGAACGACTTGTGAACGAACGCTCGAACTGTTCATCTCATACAACTTTATTGTTGTATGGGGCCTACAGTGGATATACTTACTGACTTCATTGGGCCTATAGACGGCGCGGCTAGTGTCGTTTGGTTGACGGCGTGCGAACGGCCTATACAGCTCCGATGTGGAAGCCGAGCGTTCAAATGCTTCACAAATGAGAAAATGTTTAGAGAGTCATATGAATAGAGGAAACTTTTTTAAGCTAAGTCTAGTTCGAACAGCAAAATACGAGTGTCAAGACTTTGGAATTGCTCTAATTATTTTATATAAATTATACGTAGATCTTGTAAAGATCAAAGGTTTTCCTAGTAATTATTTAGTGATTGACTAGAAACTATAGTTAGAAAATTATATATATATATATATTTTTTTTTTGTTGTTATGATTCTCAATTATAAAATCACAACAAATGCTCTAGATATATGTTTTATCAAATTTTTATATGAAATACCTCACTTCTCTGATTTCTCATATATCTTGTTTGCACTCTTCAAAAACATAATAATATATGATTTCTAATACTCGAATATGATCTCTGAGATTTGATTCTAGAATTCATTAAACATTAAACAGATTTTGTCTAATGTCTTCATATCTCAATCACTAATATTAGATATTTATATAATAATGTGAATAGAGATCCCTTATATCCCATTTATCTGCAGATCTCTGTTCTTAATATAAAAGATTTATGATATTTGAAAAATCTAGTGAGATTTGTTTGCTATTTTATATTTTATCGCTGGTCTCCAAATGTCCTCCCCTAAATCTCTCCTCTCTAATCACTAAAGGTATTCACAAATAGCTTTCCTAGCTCTTGCACACATATTGAGAATATTATCTACTTTTGATCTTGTCGGAGACGCTGGCACTGGGTGCCACTGGGCCAAATTGATTGGAATAATCGGTCTCCGCGTAGTCCGAGTTGTTGGAGTTGAGCGTTGAGGGCGGCGTGCTCAGATTGGTGCTGGTGGTGGTGGTGCTGCTGCGTGGTGCAGGCACCGGGCAACTGCCGTTTGTATAAGACCACGGTGGTGTCGTCGTCGTCGCTGCCGCTGGCTGTTGTTGTTGCTGCAGGGCCGTGTAGCGTCGCGGTAGTGTGGGCGATTCAAAGCGCACAGGGCGGAACTCCTTGCGCCCGCTCAACGCTGGCGACGGCTGCGGCGTCCACACGGGCTGTGTGGGCGGCGGCGGTGGAGTGGGCGCCGCCGAGGAGCTGTGATCTAGCTCGTTGCTGGAGCCGTACGGTGTTTGGCTCTTGGGTGTCCAGACGCCTGTTGATAGTGTGGAATGAGTGATGGGCTCTTATGACACAGTTGTCTACATTTTCACTGGTTCGGTGGTTCAGTGGTTCGGTGGTTCGGTGGGTGGGCTAAACATGACATTTTCAGGGGCGCAAGTTCACATTCTAGTTGAGTTTTATGCTCTCTCTATACAGATACATGTATATATTTTCTAACGGCTGACATTTACACTTGTCAACAAATTTATGCTCGCTTTGCGGCTGATGCTCGCCTTCCATTCGTTTCATTGGTTTCATTGGTTTCTCTAACCAAAATAAATGCTGCAGTCAACAAACCGAGCGAAGACAAATTGACAAACAAACATCGCGACGTTGAACAGCAATAATTAATACGACCAAGGAAGCCGCATTTGGCACCCATTCAAAATTTGCCCACAGAAAAGCAATAACAAAAACACAAAAAAAAAAAACTATCACACACACACATAAACATCTATGTAGACACACATACATAGGGATGAGTCATCGCATTTGGCGCATGTTTAGAATTTACAAAGACTTTCACAGACTGTTATAAAATTATATTTGAATCAAACGACAAACGACAAGAAACACGCTAAAAGAAACGAACCTCACGAGGTGTTTCAATTGTTAAGTACAGTGAACACTGACAGTGGAAGCAGGGAGGACAAATATAATAAATTATAATGAAATATTCTGGTTTGATTCGAATCCGAAGATCTGTTTTATCTGCTTATTCTTCTATTAAAATTTTAACTATTTTTTAATCAACGTTTTTCTGTAATCAACTTTTGCCTTAGAATGCTCATGGGTGAACGTAAGAGATCTTATCTTTATACTTATGTGTCAAAGCCCTTCCCAAAATCCTTTTAATATTAATAAATATTTTATATAACATACATAAAATTGGATTTGATTGTCGCTCAAACAGTGCAGACATTTAATATATATTTCTTTGCATACTCCTCTAATTTCGGTCAAGCAAGATTGATGCTATTATTTATTACTTTAAATCGATAAAATGCTGTTATTTATATATTTTTTTAAATTTGACATTTGATTGCGAAATGTCTTATACATGGCAATTGAGTTGCTAAAACATGAAATTCAACTTTCATGACTTTTTATAATTTCTATATCATACACCTGTATATCTACTTTGAATCTAATTTATAACTTTTTATGATTCAAATCAACTGCCTTAAGATTTGAAGCATACTAAATGTAGAAAGCATTTGCTAAAAGATAAACTTCAATTCAGAATTTTTTATGAATCAAAATGACGAAATTAATTTTAATTATTAGTAAATGTAAATTTTCCTAGAAAATTGTAAATAAATTTACTTGTTTATTTTATAGAACAAGTATATATGAAAATGGCAGAAATTTTTCTATAACTGACTTTAATATAAAAGCAAAAAATAGTTCTTTCATTTCAGTTTCACTCGATTGAGAATAATTACAGAATAGCCCTCGTTGTTCGTGCAGTCAAGATCTTTCACTGAACAGATTTATATGCCACCTGTAATAGCACACAAATACACAAGCAGCCAGCTTCATACACGCACTCACACTCTCACACACATTAGATACACTTCTGTCTACATAGATATTGCCTGCCCTAGGCGCGATTCGCCGCCAGACATTGACACGCATATCGCATATAGAATACGTTTTGGCTTCGATATATATAGCGCGCCCGCTCCCCATCTCTGCCTCACTCTGCTGTATTTTTATAGTGGGTGGATGCGCTGACGTCTTAATTCAATCAGCACTTGATCGAATTATACAATCGTATCAAAGTCTTGCCAATGCCAATCAAAATCTAAATCAAATCCACAATCCTGTGCCGTCCCGCCACTCGCTGACTCATTCACTTAACACTCGCAATTTTGCTGCAGAAAGCTTTTTTTTTTAAATTTATTTTTATTTTATTTTTTTTACCCTGCTGAGGATGTTATCTTTGCTATATAATCGTTTTTAACTGGATCGTTGCGACGAGTTCTCGAGTAGCTGACTCCGCGCGCGGCTCAAAGCGACTGAATTTTGCGTGAGCCGTCGTCGTCGAGCAGACCAACTCGGCGTTTACTGATTTTTCTTTTTGGGAACAACTGCTAAATGACTAAAACAACACACACACACACAAGCACACACATGTATGTATATGTATGTGTAACAGGCACAGTCACAGTCAAAGCACACACACCCCGCAAGAGTTCACAATTTCCCAGCAATTTTAAATAGAAGATCAATTACGGCTGCAATCAAATATGGGAGCGCGTGCTCGATGAAGCGCACACTCAATACATACACACATACATACACATATATTTGTATATATGTATATATGTATTTATAGTATATTCAGATTTGAGCAAGACAAAAGCAGAGTTTTAGTTTTATTTTGGGTGAAACGCCAATTATGCGTGCAATGCGAAATGGAACGGATGTGTAAGCAACTAAATATACCATACTCTGAATGCTGAATACACCTATACGTATGCATTTGACTATACTCCCCATGTATACTATATATATGTGTATAAAAGAGTCCAGCTAAAGAGTCAATCAAAATGATTTCATTTGTTTTGTAAACTCTTTTTTGAAAAAGAAAACAAAAGCCGAATGTGCGTTTGGTTTGGTTTGGTTCTGACTCGACTCGGCTTGGCTTGGCTTGGCACTTCCGGTTTGCTCAGTTCTCTGTTCTCTATGCTCTATGCTCTTTAGGAATAAATCAAACGGAAATTTTGCTTGGGGTTTTTTTCTGTTTTTTGTTTGTAGCCAATAAAAAACAATGCTCATTAAAGTAGCCTCAGCCATTTGAGCCGTAGAGGGAGCGGCAGGGCAGGGCAGGGCAGAGCAGGAGCTTAGCTTAGCTTTCTGCTGCTGCTGCTGCTGCTGCTGCTGGGTGTGTTTTATTTTTATTTTTTTCAAGGAGCGCCCGCGCTCGTTCGTGAAGAAGCGCATTTACTTGGAGAATCGACTCGTAGCTGTTGGCAATTTATGTGAAATTTATTGATTTGCAAAATGAAAATGGAAATGAAAATATCGTATGGGTCTTTAAGCAAATGAGGGCGGGAGACCGAAGCAGTAAAAATATATTTTCTACCTGCAATTAGAGCACTTTTAATTTTAAGTTGAATGTAGACTGTAGACTGGGACGGCAAATAGAGCGAGAGAGAGAGAAAATATGTTCAGGTATGAGATGATAGACTAGTTAATGCCCAGGCAATATTACAAATTAGTATATGGAAATATAATCGGATAAGAATGAGAACAATTAGAACTCCTCAAATTGTAGAAATTACGTAAAGCAATTAAGAGATGTAGCTACTCATTTTTACTGAATTTCTAGAGTTTTTCTTGTTAAAAATAATTAATAATGAAATGGATAAATATGTATATAAAATTACTGATTTGTTCACTATTTCCAAAAAATTCTTTATTTTTTTCTTGATAAAAATAAATTAAGGAAAAATATATAAAAAACTGTTCATTTTTTAATGAACCCAAATTGATACAAATAACAATTGCAACAAAGAATATATATGCATATATATATATACTACGCTTTCATACTTTTTACCTGAATTATGAGTAATATAAATTTGAAGTCCCGTAAAAAATAACTTTGTAAACAAATTCATGAAATCTCCTATAATAACTGTTAGAGAAACCAAAGAAATCCCTTTCTAATGTCTCCACTTTAACCCTCCCATTGTCTCCACCCATTCATTTCATAGGGTATTTTGTAGAAGCGTTCTACAACTATATTTTTAGTGGCTGTGTCTTGTGGCCTTGCAGCCGTAGAAACTGAGGCTGTCCCAGTCTGGCCGAGCTGCGAGCAACCTGTGCGTGCGCCCATTTATTAGGCGATTGGAACGGCCGCCTTTTGGATAGAGCGATTGACTCTGGGCTCTGCCCAGCTATCGAATGACGGCGTGGCCAGCCGCGACCTAACAGCAGCGCTGTGACCCAGCCTGCACTAGGTGCGCCACATTGTTTTCTATTGTGTGTGCGTATCGGTTGGCATTCCCGCTTTGATTTATCTGGTCTGCCCCATAATTGAGTGCGCAAAGTATTTATGGAGTGCTGCTGCACCAAATGGCACATCTACTCACTCACGGCGCCCTTTAGAAAGCGGCACGAGTTTCATGTCTATCATGTTGGGCCTAGGGTGGGAGTGGTCTAGGGTTGGGCCAGCAGGTTGTAAAGGTCATTGGGCCTCAATTGAATGAACGAGGGGAGTGGGCAAGAGAAGGTTGTAGCTTGGGGCAAAGGTTAGAAGATATAAAAAAGCGAAAGATATAGGAAGAAGAAAAAATATATATTTTACTATAAATTTAAATAAATTTATCAATAAAATTTAAGTCTTGTCTGTTTTTTTTTTTTTTTTTTTTTTTTTTTTTTTTTTGTGCAAAATCAGTCAGTGTAAAATCAGTCCAATTCAAATCGTAAAATCCTTTAGTCTTTTGGCCCTCCCCAATTTTTATTCCACAAATAAATCTTTGGCAATACTTTTTTTTCAACACTTTTGCTTAGCAAATGAAGATCCAAAGACAACGTCATCTGCATATATATTCGTATAAGAAATATATATCATCTTATTCACCTCTTTTTTCAATCTCTAACTTAATTATGATCAAATCATTTTTTCATTTTTTCATTCACGCAAATATAAAACAAGTAAGAAAGCTCTAGTCGAGACTGCTCGACTACGAGATCCCCTGAACCCTTGGAGCAATAGATATTTCAATACTTTTTCGCGACTTTCAGCTTACACAAGAAACACGCACACACACACACACACGCACGTACGCACACACAGGCATACATACACACACACGCATACAGACACACATACACACACACACGCATACATACACAAACGCATACACACACACACATACACACACATACACACACAAGCAACCACGCATAAACACGCATGGGCTGCAGTGTGCGCTTACTATGAGAACTTAATTGTTTAATAACTTTTTTATGGACGTA